TTCTTAATGTTAATATGAACTGTGAATGGAGGTCAAAGGCTGATTCACACTATCAGACACCCTACGGATCGGCAACGACACGACAAAACATGCTTATTAGATAAGCAAATGGTGGTGTTCACATTATTGACTTTGTCGGCAAGAATGAGAGAGAAAATTCTATCGTGTCGTTGCCGGTCCGTTGGGTGTAGATTTTCTTATGTATTCTGCTTAGGGCTAGTTATAGGCATTATCTCGGGTAACGGACAGGCACGTGAATACCACTTTTCTAATAAGAATGTTTTGTCGTGTCTTTGCCGGTCGTTGGGTGTTACTCTTCTTTTGGGCAAACACATTGATCAAAAGTAGTTTATAATAGGACAAGCAACAAAAAATATTACAGAAAATTGTACGAACAAATCTTATCACATTTGGAATTAATTGAATGGATTAAATTGAAACAAAGCTAAAAAGTTGACTGTAAAAATGTTGATATGGCGTTTTAGTCTTATTTTAACTGGTGAAATATACAGTTAAAGCTATGTAATTTAATTTTAGACTGATTGGCAAGAGCTACAATACCAAAGCAAATGATGCTAAAGATTCAGCGATTATTTGCTTTACCTTTAATATGTTCTACAGTTTTTGATATATTTATTTCAACTGTAGAATACAAAGTAATTTTTATGGGCTACACCATTACTAACGAAAAATTGTTGAAAACATATTTATGATTATAACGTTAACAGTCAAATGCTTTACTTCCTCTAAAACTTAAACCTACTGAAAACTTCTCCCCAATTTGCTAAAAGCAAGTTAAGATATGTAGTTTTAATAATTCGATCTTTCAAAACTGAAATGTGTATCTACTAATAGTTGATAACTTCATCAACGGTTAGCAAACAAGCATTTGAAAGATTCTGAACAAAGAAATTAAAACAGGGCAGTTTCTCTAAAATAAATATCCCAAGAGCAATCAGAATTAATTAACAGGTTTCACTGAAAAGTGATTCATGTTTAGCATAATTATTATTAATGGTTAAACAAACTTAAAAAATTAAAATGCATGAAATACTACGAAATAGCTGAAGATGTTTTGTATTATTCGTTTGGCACTTAAAGGAAACCCTACTCTTACCGTATAACCATTTTAGAGCTTTAATCTCTCATTTATTTTGGAGAATTACACATTTTTATGAGGCTCTATTAAAGTTATAATTTAGATCATTTCTTGTGCCATCCCCGGTAAAATGAAGAAAATAAATAAATTCGAGTAAAAACAGTTTTGTAGAGAGCTTTTATGTCTGGACACGGGGGCAAATATTTTTGAATATTATTTATTAGTAAATTATCTTTTAATTTGCGTAGTTCATTTCTAGTTGCACTTAAAGAAGTCCCTTTCTTTTATGGTGAATATCAAATATTGCTCTTTTAAATTGTATGTCGAGTAATGTTTGATATACTTTTTTGGTTTTCATGCTATTCAAGTCCAGATTTTGAAATGCACCAACCTCAAGCACCCTCAGGACCGGTTTCGAGACTATTACCTCTCATCAGCTGAGTTCAGCATGAAATCACCGATTCCGAAACCTACACTTTAGAATGCGAATGTATATATGTTATAAAGTGCAGGTTTGGGAATCGGTAAATTCAGACTGAACCCAGCTGATGAGAGCTAATAGTCTCGAAACCGGTCCTGGGAGTGCCTGAGGTTGGTGCATTTTGAAATATTCTTCTTCTTCTTGCACTTGCCTATTTTACTTAATATTTTGTTTAAGAAAATAATAATATTTAATTTCACAAGCATTTTAAACGAATAATTGCGATTCTCCCGTATTTATAACAATTAGTTACATGTAACGGATTTGTGCAAACACTTGAAGATTCGATGTAGAATATTATAAAAGCAAATTTATTATACTTTATTTACGACGATCGAACACTGGAAACAAACACACGGCAGATAAATTGACAACAATTATTCATTCTGGAAAATTGCCCACCCATTAAAAATTATGTGATCAAAACAGCCACAAGTCCTATATTTACACGTAATATTAGGATAAGCAATATGAAAACTGCGTTTTTCAGGAAAACATTTAATAGCCAAGTGTATTTTCAGTTATTCCCTGAAAGATTTCAAAAGTCGGGATCGAATATGGGCAATAGTCAAGACACTGAAAAATATACAACTTAGGCAAAGAAAATAGAAACATTCTTTAGAAATCGTTGTTTCTAATGTGGGTTCGATATTTAATTGGAAAGAGCACTAACTAAAATAATTAATCGGATTTGGTGAAACAATTTCAAATCCATTGTGGCCAAAGTAAAATAAACTTTTCGCTTTTATACATCTGCCACGTCTATTTTAACATTTTATTGGCATATTTAAACAGTCGAAGTTTTCAGCATCTGGTGCGAAAAACAAATTTTATACATGTACTCACTTAAGCTACTATTTAAGTTTCAATATTAACAGATCGGTTCATCTACCAATTGTCCTGTTGTAAATTTCCACAAAGATAACAGAAATGTTTGTTTTCAATAATGCAATATAAAGAAAGAAAACTTAATAACATTTATATCCAGGCTTGCAAAATATGTCCTTATCTTCTTATGGAAATAACATCGGCTCTGCAGTATTGTTTAGGCACTTGGGATGACCGATTCTGAGGCATTTTTGAATACAGTCATCGTTATAAATTGGTTGAAAAGTTTGGTTCGTTGTTGGAAAGTTCTATTCGCGTCTTTTAGTTTGTCGCTTAAGCGCATTTTTAATTTTAAGCAAAACTTTTTGTGCAAAAAACTTTAACTGCCTTTATTTTCATGCACATTTAAACATTTAAGGTTAACATACATACAGAGGTTAGCGCCAAATTTTTATTACATACTTTTCCAATATAGAGTAATCACTTCAAACGAAGCTGATGAAAACTAATTGATTATAAAAACATTTGATCATAAACACTAAAAAATATTTAAACTTTTTGAAAAAGTTTTTATTCAGATCAATAATTTGCTTCATTAATTATATGGATGAAAAACTACGATTTGCCCGACAAGTAGCATTTGTTTTCTCAGCTACCAGGAACTGATTCTTTTTGCAGTAGTTGAGAAAACATAGATTCCATATAGCGATAGCTGCAGATTGAATTGTCGCAAAGTGGAATTCGTTTCGCAATTTCGCTTCCACACGAAATAAACGGAAATTAAACGTTAGAAAAACAAATTTAGAATCATTGACACAGGAAAACAAATCGGTATCTGGTGTTAGGTACAAATCCTGTGGCCACATGTTATTCCAATAATGTTATTGCATCAGCAAATAATAATAAAATAAATGGAAATCTCCACAAGTGCGGTTACATTGTCTTGATAACAATTCTGTTAGTAGTTATAAGATAAGCTGTATACAGAGTGTTTCTGCGTAAATAATGTCACAGTCCCCTCTCTTATTCAGGATTAACAAAAGCTATTGCAATAATAAATTAAAAGTGTGTCAGTCAAGTTAGTGTTGTATTAACTATGGAGAGCATTTTATGCAGGACGTAGTATTGGCAAAAGAGTTCATCGTTTCAAAAATTAATATTTAGTTACTTAAACAGCCTCAGTTTTTATTGCGATTGTATGGGCCTCGTCTTATAACTTGGCATTAAAATAAGGTTTTGGCGAAAAAGTTGATGGAATAGTAGCGATCGTGTCGTGCTCAATTATTACGCATACGTGGTTGCTTCAAAACTGGGATCAAGGAGAATCTGCCCGAAAGCTTTAAATAGCTTTACACGCGTTGTGTTAGTTCTTGTTTTTAACAGACTCAAAACGGTCAAAATCATTTCCTTTGAATAGCGCATTCAGTATGACGTGAGCAATCAGCTTTTCAGTTGCTACCAACTTCAGTTTCTTCAACAACTCTCACGGTCTAAAAAACAATAAGAAGGAAGTTCACGTAGCGAAACCGTATGCATGTTCGGAATTGTTATACATTTCCAGTCTACAAGAACAGACTTTGTTGACATATTAATAGTCTGCCAAATGAGCATTGAACAATTAATCAAAGTAGATTAATTTAAAAAATTGGGAATGAATGAATGCACTTGCTTGATGCACATACATAAGTTTTTTGCTTGTTATCAAACTTTCACTGACCTCATAAAATAAAACAGACACTTAAACGTTAAGAATGTTTTGACACCTACTTGAAATTTTTTGATAAGAGAACGAATTTTCTTGTATTGTTATTAAATGAATCATTTTACTGGCACTACAACGATGAAAGAGTACCTATACGAAAGAGTTACTGTGAAAAGCAACATTTTTGCAAGTGTTTCTTATGATTTCGTATAACTGGAGCTATAAGGGAAGTTGAGCAGACCGTTAGCGGTCTTAATAGTCCGCAAAAACTCAGCTATACCAAGAAAGTCTAACCCTAACTAAATGTTTCTATGTAAACTTACTTACATATGTTGCGTGAAACTTTTCCGCGAAAGTAATTAATATTATTTTGGTTTCAGCATATACTAAGATCAATTTTATGCTGATAAACAAATTAAAATAAAGAAAGCATTATTAAATAGAGTGGTCTAGTTTCAAGTGTTCTTAATTGAGGAAAACAATTGTCGATAAGTAAGAATAATTATTGTATTATTGCTGCGTGCAAAATTTGATAATATTCTTACCAATGTAATAGTCACAAAACAGCAAGATGCTAACTGCAAACGAAAACTTCACTGAATATACGAGTATCTCCTTCACTTGTGTATCCGGATATACCGAGCTCAATGACAATTAGATTTCCTTAAACCAGTCTATGTTATCTCTCCGAACGTGACGAAAATAAAACAAAATATCACTTAATATCTAGAGACTAAAATAATCAGTCTGGACGCGACAGTCACCAACTTCCAAATGATGATCGCCCCAGCCAAAATTTTGATTTTAAAACCGTGAAATTGGTGATTCAGAAACGCGGTAGCTTGCCAAATTATGTGATGGAATGAATTTTTTTCTGTGTTTACTCGGCAACAATTTGGCACTGACTCTCTTTATAATGACAAATAACGTCAGTGGGATTGTTTTTGGGCATATTTATACGTACATATGTGTTTTGAGTTGCCCGAAATATATCTAGTTTTCATAGTCAGGTTTGAACAGACGAGGTACGAGTGAAAGTAATCGCGCTAATGGTTTGGTAATTTAATCGGAAATAATGTTATGTTTTGATTGTTTATATTTCTCAATTGTCGGAATGTTACGATGAAATTTCATGGACGGTTGAATTGAAAGTTATCGTTAGCTTTTTGGATGTAAGCACACAATAAATTTCGTGAATTGCATTTAATCCAGTAGCATTTAAACCATTTTTTCATTCATTTGCGTGTACTTTGTGAGAAGTCACTTTAGAATAATAAAAACGTTGGAGATAATGAACTTTGTTTTTATATTTAGAAATAAATCTCCTCTGTTTCAATTGCGTACATTTCGCATATTTTCTTCTGCATCATTAGGGAGTAGCAAGCAACAATGAGTTTATTCATTGCTTGGATATGCTGTTATTCACATTTTCTATTTATAATATCTGGTTTTAAAATAAGCTTTCGTTCAAAGCTATCTGTCTCTATCTATCTATATCTGAAAGTATAGATACAAAAGAGTAATAAAATGAAGCACATCTGTACAGCTGAGTTTTAAAAGCGATTACCGAAAATTCGCATTGCTATCGTAAAGATGTGTGCAAGGGTAATTTATAATTGCAAGGGTTATAGGAAAATATTAGATAATTAATTTTAAACATTGCGTATAGTGAGCCTAATATAATTTTGCGACAAGAGTCACCATCGTGGGTGCTCAATGTGACCTGACTCTTAAATGCACATTGTTTCGCATTGGGATGACGTCGGGTCAGTGAGTGCAAAATGTAGATTAGTTGCACGTTTTTATTTTCCACAAAATGTTATTAAATATTCGCAACCACTGCATGCAAATCGGTTTATGGATGTGTTATTTTCATTGCAAATTATTCATGACTATGAAGAATATTCATTAGTAATCTCGACCATAATTTCAGTAATTTAAATCCTGTTATGTAGGTGAATTCGGTTTCGTGAACTGCAGCACGAAAGCAATGTTTTGATGATTCTCTGGAATAAATAGAAACGTTTCTGTGTTTAGCAATTTCTAGTAGGCGGAGTTTCACATATTAAAAAACTTGAACAGTGCCAATTGAACTAGGTAATTGCGTTTTAGTTAATGCGTTGCTTGGAAGTGTCTCAATATAAAGGATTTAGAAATAACTTTTAACAATATAAAAAATATATTCACTATCAATAGATTGTATTTACTAAAACTGAGATGCAATAAATTTTAAAAACCTGAGGCCTCAAAACACTATTTTGTTTCGGTAGTCAAGACATGGAGGCAAAGATATATTTTGTGTAGAGGAATTAAAGCAATCGACTCATGATATGTTTTGATTCAATTGATCACATGTTCAAAAATGTACAGTGTCCCGTCAGGACATGATTAAAACGGCAGTGCGATACTCTCTGGGTCAAACCAAGACGATCTAATAAAACTTTTATAAGGAAAAAAGTCTGACTCTCAGCTATTGGTTAAAGTTATTCAATAATATTACGTTTGTCGAAAAATTGTCAAAAAAAACCACCAAGAAGAATCTAAGGTTCAGCATCTGGAATTTACAGGATTCCATGCAGCTATGGCTTCGACATTGTCACAACAACGCGAAGCGTCGTCAACACCAGAATCACGGAACGCAAGATAAGGTATAGATTGGGACAGACAGGGAAATCGGCTGTAGCTGGGCACGCACTGACGAATGAATATCAAATTCTTTTCCAGCAAGCAGAGGTTTTAGACCATACCCAACGCTGGTTTCCAAGAATCACTATGGAATCCATTGAAATATTCAAACATACGGATAATTTTAATTGGAAGGAGCATGTAAGTGCACTCAACCAGAACTTGAAGAGTGCACTGGGTACACGTCACCAACTCCAACAGAAGAATGACTTAGAACAGAATATGTTTTTTTATGCATGTAAAAAACGCGGAACGCCGAATGATATTTTCAACAGTATATTTAGGCCAATGTATGGAACGATGTTCAGGCGAGTTTATCGATCTGTTTAATTTGTATTAATCACCAAAATATTTTCAGATATTGACACGCAATTGTAAAAATGCCAGGGGCTGCGCCACATTAAACGATTTTGTAATGGAGCAAATTAAGACGAAAGTCGAACTTGTAACTAGTAATGGTTTAAAAAATTCTCTCGGAGAACCTTTCAAATATTGACCAAATAAAATCATCGACATCAATTCTAATATCGACCATCAAAAGCATAACATGAGGACCAAACATTTCGTTTTCTTGATGGAAACCAAAACATATATTTTTGTGCTGAGTTTTCTCAAAAGATGTTCGTATTCAGGAGGTGCTCAGTAAATGCCTATATAACCAGATCTCAGATCTCCTTTCCTTATACGGTATGATTATTTTCTTCTCCAACCGAGAGAGTGGAACTGAAAACATATGACATCAAGCCATTATCGCTCGCTTTAGCTCTAGCGTCAAATTATTGGCGATTCGCCGTTTCTTCGTTTTAATAGGAAAAGGTAATGTTTATGGAAAAGCCATAATCGTTACTAATTCGCATAATCCTGTTCTCCAGCCTCTGTAGGTCTTCGAGAATATTTGCAAACAATACGGTGTCATCGGCATACCTAATGTTATTGATAGCTGTGCCGTTGATCCTCCAATTCCATTTAGAATTACGAAGACAATTAAAATATTTTGAGCAGATAAAACAATGTTGATTTTTACTCTTCGAGTTTTTACTTTTTTTTATCGGAAACAAACCACGAAAAATTATCACGTATGCTCAATTAATAATGAAATCCCAACTTATTTCTTAAAATGTTCGTGGTAAGATCATCGAGAAAACCACGTTTTAGACGGCTCTTTTTGAATCTTCATATATTAATTTTTTAGTTATGCAGTTTCACATTGCAACTTTCCACAATTTAATTAATTTAATTTTATAATTATTTAATAGCTATTCGTCTCGTCAACAACTGACCTTCAACTAAGTTTGAACTCCATTAGCTTGCTAAACTTTCTTGAACAAAATAACCAAATGAAACTAACTAACTCGCTAGCACCATCCTAGTTGCATTTTATCAAAAACAAGCATTGAACATTTTATTCGGGGTGCGCTAATTTTAAATTAATATTTCTACAATGTTCCATCATGTGTTTTATAGGGAGCGTTTTCATGTGTTATTTTGTCTTTTGTTTAAAACTAAGTTAATGTGTTATTAAGTTTATGTGTTCTTTTCATTAAAAGTAAGGCAAAAGAACAAATTTTTCCTTTTATTATCACTATTTACATAGAGAAACACATCGTTAGTTTGGTCTAAGTTTCAAGGATTAAAGGACTGCAGTAGATAACGTTGATTTATATTTTCATCAAGACATTTTGAGATTATGGCGTCTAACGCAAATAAATAATATTTTGCTATCCGGAATCTGCGTCAGAATGTCTTCACATTCATTTGAAATCAACTTGTTATTGCATGATTTACTTTTTCATCTTCAAAATTACATGACCATTCCTCTGAAATAGCAATTGTTGAGCGCTGGAAACATTAAACTAGAACTTCCCAACTATTGCCAACCGTCAAAGCGAGGAAAAAATATTTAAATTCCAAGGGTAAGTGAATTTAGTATATGTATATGATTTGGGTTTTCACAGCGCCCACAATTTTCAGCAATTTTTGTACATGGTGATTTTGCTGGAGAAGTTATCTGGGAGTAATTAGAGAGTAGAGAAGAAATCGAACCAAAAAATACTTGAAATATTTGCAAAAAACGGAAAGCACATAACATTACATTACATTAAGGACCTGTTACTTTATGCTTAAGTCATCGAAGTTAATAGGTGAAAATAAGAGACAAATGAAAACAAAACATATTATTTTACTGATAGAATTAATAATTTGTTTCTATATTCAATTGAAAACAACTCAATATTGTTCCGAAATGAAGATTTTCAATTGAAGTACTCTAATTATATAAGTTATCTATACGGTTTTCTGTTAAATCAAACAAAAGGTTTTGAAAAAAATTAGCAAATTTGATAAAATGATTGGGACCCATCTTTCCATCAATTGAACTTGGTATAGCGTTGTTGGAAAGATCAATATTATGGCAACAATGTGGAAAACCTTTACATATTCATGATTGATTGCTCTAAATTTGACTACAACAAGCTTGAACGAGTTTTAATCGGAGACTTAGACTTTTTGAAAATAATTACTTTGCTTTTAACAGGCAATAGACTGGCGCGTCCACGAGTTATATACAGGGTGAGTTTTTTAAAGTGTTACAAGGCTATATCTCAGAAAATTTTGGGAAAATAAGAAATAGGTACGGGGACGTATTTATACATTATTTTTATTATTCTACTCAAGCGCCCTCTGTGAGAGGTAAAGGCAACAATACAATTTTAAATGGCATTATATATTTTTTATTGTGAAATTTAAATCAACATGAGAAACTGTGTATGTGTAGAAATGTTATGCCATTTGATCACTTAGTTCCAGAATTAGGACGTGCAGCATAAATTTAAAAAAATACATTTATTAAATTATGACCCCACTAATAGTAATCAAATATGTTTCAGGATATGTTCAAAATGCCTGCCTTCGACTTCCAAACACTTTACTACTCTATTTTGAAATTTTGGACAATTTGAAAAACCACCGACTTAAACATGTTTAATTGTATTGAAATTCTATAAAACTTAAATTATCGATAATTGTGTAACCAGATGAGTAAACCATGCAAAAATTTGTACACATACATTTTCATGTAGAATCAAATCTCAGAATCAAAAATATGTCATTCCATTTAAAATTTCAAAGTTTCCTTTACCTCTCAAAGAAGGCGGTTGAGTAGAATAGTAAAAAATATGTTAAAACATGTCCCCTACCTATCTATAACTTTCCGAAAATTTTTATAAATTTATTGCAATCTGTTTCTGAGGTATAACCTTGTAACACTTTAAAAACACACCCTGTATACTCTGTACGCTATAACCTTGGTCGCACGTCATCAGTGATGAAATTTGACCATCAACATAAAAACAATTATGCATTAAATTTGTGTTTGTGAATTTTTTTAAAGACCCACGCCGTTTGCTTGTTCCGTTTGTCATGTACTTGTCCATGACTTGTGCGTTGACGGTATATTTGTGCTTTTTAAATAAACTATTATTCCATAAAGAATAATCAGCAAAAGCGAGATACGCATTGTTTTAGCGTACAGATGTACAGAAGAGATGGGTAAGACCATCTCCTACATTTTGCCAAAAAACAAGAAATTGAGCATACGTAACATTGGCGAACGAACTGTTATGATAATATTTTTATATCGGCCAAAGGACATTTATTTCGTCGATCAACGACCAAATTTGTTAAAATGGCAAAAAAAGTAGAGCCGTCCAAATGCCCACAAAGTCTGGTGGTCCCTCCCCAAATCTGCAACTGTTTGTCAGGTATTGGAAAAAGTGTCAATGGCCACCTTCACTATGTGAATACTTGGATTTATCAGTTTAATTGCATTTTCCATCAGCATGCACACATATTTTTGGTTTGAAAGCTAGATAATTAAAAACTTGAAAGCTAGATAATTAAAAACTTAATAATAATTAATACTAAAAAATATGCTAGCAACCACGAGCGAGGTTGAAACATTTTTTCATTAAATTTTTTATTAAAACTAGTCAAACAAGATAACTAACCATAATATTATCAGCGTCAGCCCAACGAGGGTCTACAGCTTTTTGTGGGCTTCTGTATCTATTTAGAAGCAGATACACAATGTACACACGTGTACAATAGTTCGCTTCTAACAAACACTACATGAGTGAGTTCGAAGAGTCTCGATCTCTTTAATCTACGGGATTACTGTTATTAAGATTCGGTTATCTAGTCAAGCTTCTGAAGCCTGATGCTCTATGTCTGCCTCCAGGTTTGTTCACGTCGTTATACTTAATTTCTTATTTAACAGTCGAGACTCCAAAGTCTCGAAGGACCTTGAGTATGAAGATAAAAATGATTGACAAACCTTTATGCATTTGTTAGTTCACGCAGTATTTTATGTCGAATTGTTTGCTTTTGTGCATGTGTGTATTTTGGGTCCAGAGATCCACAAACGTTGAATTATTTTGCTTATAGATCAAAAGTTTTGCTGCAGTTATTTTAGAACATCTGCTAATTTAACTTTCAATTTAAAACTATTTTTCTTTTTTCCATCGTAGTTTTGCTTTTCCGGTTATTTCAACGTATTCCAAAGAATTTTCATATGTATCATAAAGTTGATCGAAAATAGCAACATTCACAACTGCACTGCATTCTCAAAATAGTAATAAACAACAAGCCAACTATTTTTGTTTAGACTAGCGTTATTAAGGATCTGTTTATTATATACATGGTTGTTATGGTAAGCCACAGATGCGAATTAGTACAAATCTGAGGTCAGTTGCTATTGTTTGTGCGTAAATACATAATTAATTTTTCCATTTCGTGTCGCTTTTACGAGACGATTAGTTCTTGATTTAACATTTATAATCAACATGCTTATACGGACTTTTAAATTGTAAATTATTTCTGAGGAACCAATCTATTTTGCTACTTTCTCATCCAAACAAAAAACTGCTTACCTTTTTTTTACTACGTTTACTTTTTTACGTACTTTTTAAGTACCTTTCAAACTTTTGCTAATGTTTCAAATGTTCTACGAGGTGATTCTTAAAGAGCTGCACAAAATGTTACTATTCCTGTGAAGGTTTGACCTGAATATCTGGATAAATCTAGGATTCAATTGACAATTGCTATTTGCTGATAAAGCGTATTGAATATTATACATTTTGTTGCTAACAGCTAAAAAACCTAAAAAACCAGTATGGTGGAAATGGTCTAGATTTGCTAACTAGCTGTTGGTGTATTTTTTCCAAAGAAACAAAAAGTGTAGAACATTGTCAACTTCAAGCTATACTCTTAAAGTTTCACATTTTTTAAATAATTTTTGATATTAAACTGGTTTTTTTTTAATGGTATCTGGATAAATTAGGGTAGTTTACTCTTTGCGAGCCAAATAAATTACTTCGACATCTAACCTGTTCATTCTAGGCCATTTAACAATTCAATAATATTAAAGTTTCCCATATGTTGCAGAGTTTTTGGAATACACAGATAACAGTCAAAATAAATTATCTTACTGTCTGCCTTTCCATTAATATTTATTACCTACAGCAAAATATTTAAATTTTTGGCTGACGTAAAATTTTTCGTTTATTTTAATAATTTCTTCTTCTATTTTCCATCTTTTGCGCCTGTTTAATAGTGCCGTATCGCTCGAATGCGATACTTGCTGTCATCGCCTTCTTTCTTTTCTTCGTTTTTCCGAATTGTTGATTCCTTTCTTACCTACTGCGTGTGTAATTTATTTAGTGACTGTATAAGCCACTTTTTGTAGCAGCCACGATAAGTTTCTCAGATTTTATCTGGAGTTCTTCGGTTATTTTCAAGCTTACGCTCAATGCATGGATAAAATAAGGTTCAATGTGACTTTTTCTTGTATGTCTACCTGGAAGTTCTTCCAAGTAAAGTCTTGGCTTCCCATCTAATAACTTTTGCACTAACACAGCATCATGTTGGAAAATATTCTTGTCTAACGTCTTATGTACGTCTCGGATATGAACAACACGCTTTCGAGGATAATTATCCTGATAAACAATAACTGTCTTACCCAAAAAATAGAAAAGCGCCTTTTAATAAATGACTCTCTAGATAACTTTTTACAGTGCCTTTTAGAGTTCTCTAATTTACTCCTAGATACGATTGTAGTAAATATTTAATTTTTACTATTTCAGTGAAGGATTATTGTACCAGTATTCGTTATTTTGTTGAAAGCAAGAGTATTGTTTATTTGCGAGCCCAATTACTTCTAAAAATATAATTTATAAGTCTAAAGCCTTAATCATGACTGAAAAGTTAAACTTGCAAAAAAATGACAATGGAAATTATTTCCTCCAAAATTAAAAGCGTTTGCATTTATAAAATTCTAAGACTAATTGATGCAATTTAATTAAAATCAGATATAGCAATTTTCTGAAATACAGGTTTCAAGAGAATGGTAATTCCAAACTGCAGGATGTCTGACGTAAAACGATCTTTTGCGAAATAAAGTCTTGCAGAGTTTGCGGTGAAACATCTGCAAACACTTGCAAATACTCGTTATCCCTGATTTATCGCTAAATACCTACTCAAGTTGCTTACCTGGTCTTGTACTGTGAAGTATTAATTATTGGTGCTCCTATTTACCTGTAAAAAATACAATAATTAATACTTTGAAATATTGATAGACAATTAAAAACATTCCAAATGCACAGACTCACGGAACATTAATTACGAATTCCCCATCCGAGAAGGACCTTTAGGATAATAGGGTTAAGGTTAGGCCTTCAAATCAACAAGTATGTAGGTTTAGTTCGTTATTACTTTTACCGTTGTTTTACTTCTCAGTGTGCCGGTTTCTAAATTATTTTACAATCAGAATGCGACAATCGATCTTTGACTTTTCTTACTTACAAGCCGATTTTTTTAATTTAATAATGCAGTAATGTAGTGAGTAAATTTGTATTGAAAACAGCAAAAAAGAGAGAACTCGTGAGATAAACCAACACCCCACACTCATGATTCAGAGTCAATAAAATAAAAACTTTGTCTTCCTTTATTAAGCACGCAACAATTTAAAAAGCTTATAAGCATGGCATTGTTCAACAATCAGTTGAACAATGCCATGCTTTGGAGAATAAGCTTGACTTTTTAAAATAGTTTTCTCATCGTTTGTTAGCAAATGCGGATATTCTCTTTTAAAACTCAGGCACGTTCTAGATGCAATTCTTTCCTCAAGAGGCACCATAAGTATAAATTTATATTAAAATATCTGCAATGAAAAAACATAATTGATATGGAACTAATTTGATCAAAAAACGTTCCACCTGAAATGAAAAATTTCGATAATAAATTAACAGTTGTGAAATTATATTATTAATAAATATGCGTATAATAGAATATTTTTATTTCTCAATAGTTTAGCATTTCAGTCTAGGAATCAGTCTTAAATTTGAACTTTTTCAGAATATAGTAGGTTATGACATATAATATTTGGATTTTAGAGCATTTGCTAAAATTCGAGTTCTACGCTATACTTCCCATTCTTAAAATTACAGACCTTGTTTCTACATCAGTTTTTAAACCTGAATGATAAAAAAATGCAATATTTCATTGCACCGAAGCAACGTTATTAACTTCAATATTCAAGGTAATAGCTGGAATACAACTATGTTGATTTATACCAAGAAGTTAAAATCGGGAAATACTGAGGCTAAATTCTCAACCTCAGGTTCCGTATTTCATATTGTCTTCAATGCTTTTCCTATGTCCGTTCATTAATTAAAACAATCAAGAATATCTTTATATTATTTTCGTTTCCAAATATTTTCATATGAAATTATTATAATATTGCTTTAGAGAGTTTAGTTGAAAATGCAGCTTTTTCATATGGAAATGTGCATTTAACAGTAAACAAATAGGCTCCCAAGAAATGTCTTGTATAAACCACTATACGTACATACATAACTAGCTAACTATTATATCAATAATTGTACTGGCACAATTCAGATATGCTCTATCAGGATGCATATTAGTCAACTAATTTTAACCTTAATTTTTATTTATTTAAAATTATTATTATTATTATAGAGCATAGTTTCTATGTCTGTGAGTACAATCACGGAAATTGAGCCGTGGCTAGTTAAATGTACCATTTTCGGCGGCAGGTACACTCAGGCCATATTCACCACGTTTAAATCTAATACCGGAACCGTTCAATAGACAATTTGCGATTTGCTTCAGTACATCACGCCAAAAGTTGATCAGGACCCAAACTAACAGATAAAATTAAGAATCTGATTTTCTTTAAATCGAAGTTGATGCGATTTTTACAAATTGTGTTTGGTTTGTCCTGTTGCTTTTGGTTTATTGTATATTTGTTGCGTAAGTCGACTTGATACTTAAGAATATTCGGTTTACTAACTTAATGTTTTAGCCCAACTAAATTTTAATGCTCTGGCCGACCGTTTAAAGACTCTACTAACAATTTGTAGACTAAACATTTTAGTTCATTTTATATGATCTTCATTATACATCCCTTTTAGTAGATGGCTAATTATGACTAATTAGACTTTTTTGGGACCGATCTGAAATTAATTGTTAATGTTTTTACATAACATGTCAATAAAAGTGCTTTTGTTTATTAATAAAATCCTAATAATATTTATTTCCGAATAAGCAATAACGGGAATATAAAATATCTAAGTACTCAATGCTGCTCCTATTAGGGTGCTTAAACATACGTAAAACATTGACCATTTCAAATTGGAATTCAGAATGACTAGGTTAATATTAACTGAATTGACATTGGCATTGAATCTCTACGTCGTTCCACTTAAAAAAATTACGCAGATAGGATAATTGACAATAAAGGAAAAAGAGAATTATTGTCAATTTCCATAATTTTAATAAATTGCTACTGGCTAATTGCTAATATCTTGTTTGGAATTGTAGCTATTATTCTCATGTTGAATTATATACCATTTTGTTAATTGCAAGCCAGGCATCATTGGTTCCTTTGGTGTTCAGCCAATTTCGACTGAATTAGCTTAATACAATTAGACATGAATGCACTCAAAATACTGAAAGTAGAAAGTATTTTCTACAACATCTGTACTTAAGTAATAAAAAAAGTCTAATACAATATCTGTTTCTTTGATTGCACTTTATATTCCAGGCGCATAAATAAAGCTTACGTATCTTCAACATGGTATTTCACATCAACCTACATCTGTGGTGGCATTTGGTGTCGAATAAAAAATAAGTTACTTAACTTCAAAGAATGCAAATATGTTTTGAGGGGGCTTTTACATACACCTACATACCCGCGAGTACCATTACTTATTAAATAAAGACAGTAATTAATTTGACTTTTCGTAGCAATGAACTTAAAAAAAACCTCAATTTAATTCGGGATTTCATAGTTAGCCCAGGCGTAATTTAAGTCGAAATTGGCCTTTAAAATATTCCGAACATGAAACAACAGACATAGTGAAGAGCCGATTATATTTAATACTAAAAAAGGTTTAGTAACAAGTAGTAAAAATTATACGTAAATTATTACGAATTGCGGCTGACATATCCAGAAAAGATGATAGCGTAAGTGAAAAAAATGTCGAAAACAAAGAAAAAATTTCCAAGTAGCCTGTTCTAGTTGAACTCTATTAATTCATAACCCATGATAAATAATCGAAAGGACCAAAAACCAGAATTAGTAATACAAAATTAGCATTCATGATCGACTACTAAATACTATAGTTTTATTATGTAGATTCCTCGAAACCGTACACGACGCGAATACAAACTCCATAAAACAAATGAAAATAAACATCACATAGTGACTCTAATGTGCAATTAGTTAACATTTAAGTAATTTATAAGCACATAATTGTAAAGTCGGTATTTGAGTCAATAAACATCTTATTTATTTAGAAATATTGTGTTCCGACGTATTATTAACTTTTTATATACTTTTTTAATTCTGCTACAATGTCCCAGGCATTAATATGTAACTGTATATCTGGCAAAAGTTTTTCGACCATTTCGTTTATTTACAGAGTGGTCTCAAAAAGATAAACGTTTGGGTTTTGCAGTGATACATTTATTTCCCTTGAACCGATTTCCAAAAGCTAGGGCTCATGTTGAAGTTGAAGTAATTGTTGGACTGGCAAAAACAATCGATGTACTGGGTTGCAAGAAACAGGAAATATTTGAAACTGATCTTCATTTTAGTTGAAAGTCTGCTAGATTTACAGATTCCGGGCAATACTGATTTGAGTCATTTCTGCTGCAACCCTGTATATCGAATTTTCATCTTAGATTGTCTATGAAGTTTCAGCTTCAACTTGAGCTCAAGATGGTAAAAATCGATTCGAGAACAGATAAGTTATCGGTCATATACAAGATATGATCAAAAAATTAAAAAAATAGTTTTGAGCTATTTCGTTATTCTTTACACTTTTGGTATTGAGATCCAAAAAACCTCATTTTTGTCTAATTAGAAACATGCCCAATTTTCCGAAATTTTAATTTTTTTTTATTTCCTACCATGAAGAAAATTTATCTGAGGTGCTTAATTTTTACCAAAAGATTGACGAGCAAAAGCAATGACTTCCAACAGAAGCAAAAAGCAGTGGGGTCTTTCTGCATTATTACAGCAAGGAGACAAGAGGGCTTTATCAAACTGGTCGCCGTACCGCTGGGCCTACCAGTCAAGTTCTTTTATTTTTATTGTTTTTTGTTTCAATCAATTTTAACTTTAGTCTGTTTCTTGCAAGTATGTCATATATATTTTTATATACTTTAGAGCGTTTTAGCAAGTCTTTAACCAGTTTTTGACAAGTTTTGTTGGGTGCTCTTGGGGATGTTTGTAAGTGATGTGACGAGGCCCTGATGATGACATAATTGTCGAAAGAGCTTGGCTTTAATTAACAATTACATACACACTTAACTACAAAAAAAACTAGTTTGATTGAGAAACAGAATAGCTTGAAGCAATTAGAATTTACCCACTTCCACAGTTAGACCAAATATGGCTGTCACGTTCATTTTGTTGAGTAGTTTAGTTTACCTGGCAATGCATCACACATTGAACTGCAGTTGAACTTAAATTCCCAACTGCAGAATAATTTTACCATTGCAGCTAATTTGAAGCCAACAAAAAATTAACACTGATATAAAAATAGAAGAATATAAGTAGTGATAAAACCTCCAGAAATGTGTTGAGCATTTCTTCTCAACTGAAGCAAATCTTTAGTACTTTTAGTAGAATCACCAATATATTTATAAGAACTATACCGGTCAGCATTTCCGGCATTTAGAACATCATAAAACATATTTTCTTGCTGAGTTCCCCTTTTGAATTGTCTCCCTGAACCTTTATAGAAATTTTTAATTGAATAAATGAAAGAAAATATGGCGTCAATAAGATGTAAACACTCAAAAGAAAATAAGACATATTGGGAATAAGTTGGCATTAAACAAATATTTACTAAAATAATAGTAACAAATGCAAGAACAGCACAAAGTTAAAGGTACAAAATGAATGCCTACGACCACAACAAAGAATGGGAATAGAAATAAAGACTATATGGTGATTTGACAAATTGAGGCATCGGAAAAAAGGGAACAAGAATAAGCCAAAACAAAATAACAAATATAAGCAAAAGATACAAGGGATAAAAATAAAACAAAGGAAATTAAATTCGAAAATTGCTTGTATATCTCATACCTTCCATAAATTGAATATAATTGCAATTCATATTAGTTGTCAAGCTTAAAGTTTCAGAGGTCATAGAACTAAATATTTTAATTTTAATGTCTAAAATAGTTATAATATCTAAAGTTTTGCCGAGCCGCCCAACAAATAAACTATATTTTTACCAACCAGTTGAACCAGCGGGATTCAGCTAAGGGGTCAGTACGATCGATCATCTGCAAATGGTTCGGAGTTTGATAGAGAAATGCATAGAGGATAACAAAACCTAGCAGTCGTCGACTATGAAAAGACTTTTAACTCTGTTGAAACTTGGGCGAACTTGAAAGCAATGGACAATGCGAGAATATATTCGAGATACACGAAACTTATTGCAGGTGTTAAGGGAGGCCTTCACTCGATGGGTGGAATAGGATGGATGTAAATGTGAATCAACAGGAAACTTATGGAACGTATCTATAAAAATGCTACAATACAAGTCGTCATTAATGAAAACATGTCGACAGATCAAATCAAGCTGGGGTGAGCGAGCGGTACGTCAAGGAGACACCATTTCACCAAAGCTATTTACTTTAGGGATGGAAGACACTTTTAAGAATCTACTATGGCAGAATAATGGTAACAATATAGATAGAGTCTACCTAAAACAACAGCGTTTTGCCAATGATATCGTGGTTATTGGTGGTGTCACCGATGAGCTGAGGTCTATGCTAGAAGAACTACAAGTGGCATCAAAGCAGATTGGATTGAAAATGAATTTGGGGAAGACAGAAATAATGACCAATGACGATGTTAGAGTCAGCATAGAAGGGAAGGTTCTTGAAATTGTTAACGAATATGTCTAGTATGACCACACCATCAGAATCAAGCAGCAGAAATATCTAGAAGGATAGGATTGAGTTGGGCAGCATTCGGAAAACTGGGAACATTCTATAATCCCTGAGCAGTCCGATTAATCTTAAAAGGAACGTATATGATTCTGCCAGTAACACCTTATGGTATGGAAACTGTAACTCCCACGGATAAAAGGGCAGATAAGCTCAGAATAACACAAAGAGCGATGGAGTGTGCCATGTTAAGCTTGAGAGATCACGAAATAAATTGTGAGGTTCGGGGAGAACAAAGGTTGTCGATGTTATCAAACGAATGGCACAGCAAGCAAAAGTGGCAATGGGAAGGTCAGTGGCAAAACAGGATCATTCCAAATGGACAAAGATAGTAATAGATTGGCGTTCATGAACTTCGAAGAGAAGCGTGGGAAGGACCCCAAAGCGATGGTGAGATGACTTAATCTGTGTCCAAGATGGAGATTATTGGCAGAAGCTTACATTCAGGAGCGGATGAACATAGGCTGAGAAGAAGGAGAAGAAGAAGAATGCTCTAGAAAATGCATGTTATTCGCGTACACATATAAGCAACTTTTAGGTCATATACAGGGAAGGCTGAACTTAAAAGCAAAATAAAATGTCACAACCTAATATATTGATGTTAGCATTAAATTTCGGCTCACTTTAAAATAATTTATATTAAAACAAAATAATGAAAAATTAGATTTTCAACTGTCAGTCTATTTCAGACATGTACGAAAACTTATTTTCATATTTAGTTCGAATTTTTCCATTAGATTTTTTCCATACTCCAACCATTATATTCAAAAAATTTGAAACTGATATTTCAAAAACTACCAACAGAAAATTGTTTTACGAAATAATATCACTATTGGCAATGTTTAAGGCTCAAATGCTACGTTACTTGTTTAATAACTTTTTAAAATTATTTGGCTATACCTTAAGTGCTAAACTGTGCTCCAAAATAATTTTTGGCGGCCAAATTTGGAAGCAATACAAAAATGTTTACCCATTATGCTATTCCTTTTGATTATTGGCTAGCGACAGGACTTTAAATACTTTTTTCTATAAATGTGATTCTGTAAATAAAAAATGACCTGCATTCCAATTCAAAATTGGCTCTCTTCTGTCAAAATTATGTATTTTCGTCTGAATTACTTATTTTGGACCGCTTTAAAAATTGTTTGACTCAACAATTCTATTTGACTCTCCAGAACATTCGACCTTTAACTTTTAATAATGTATTTTGGCATTCACTTTGTATTACAGGATGTGTGTTTTACCTAGTACTGAACTGACATACTAATCGTACAAACTCGAATTTTCGAAAATACTATGTGCGTTTAATTTGCCCTTTTTGAACTTAAGAACAACGTAGTACAACAAAGTACACGCAGTCAGGAAAATAAATCAGAATAAATGACTTAAGAACAACGTACTATTTAAACACATTTCCCCCATCAGTTTTAAGCTGAAATAACATATTTTTTAGATGATTATTGGACAATCTTCCTTTGGTGGCGGCTTTAAAGAATTTTCAATCAAGTAATTTCTTGTAACGCATGGTATTTATTGTAATAAGTTCTAGAATACCTATTATTATGGACAGGAATTTTTCAGACAGCAAAACAAAATATTGATAAGAATTATTGTTTGGACTGGTAAAAGGCCACTAGGCCTACAGTGTAATTATCTCTTGTCTTGACCTTTGCATTTTACTCTATCAGAAATATGTAGTCATTGAGGAAGGTGATGGGATATGCAAACCGCCTTAAAATGTGCCATCACTTTGTTTATGGATGATACTTTGGCAGCAGATACTTTGGAGTATTTCTACCCAACGGCCTTCTGGTGTTTTGCCAGATTTCTCAGAAGTTGAGTGGCGTTATCAATATCACGTTTTGCCTTAAAACGATTGTAAATTTGTGCCAAATGGATAACTGGAATGGATAACTGGAATATATAAATGGCTTCAATAGAGGCTAATCTAAACCCAGCACAGTCTAGATGAATTTACGCCAAAAATTACAAATGTATGTTGTTGTTGGACATTAAGAGAAGAAAAGCAATCAAACAATTTTACAGCAGTTCCAATTTTCAAAACAACATTTACTGAAAAAATAAAGAACCAAAGCCATTCTCCAGTGAGATATACAGGATCATTCTGATTATACGAGACGGAAGATTGTGGCTAAACTAAAGAATTTTTATAAAATATCATTTTATGAATAACCGGAGAACCGCCGGGGGTACATTTTGAAATATTTTCTGCAGTACAGGGTGTCCCAATTACTAGATTCAACCCAATTGCCATGACCATTTTTTTCAATTTTATTTGTCAACACTCATTTTGCATTTCCAATCCAATTTACCCTATCGCTACTAATAGATGCTGTTCCATGCCAAGTTAATAAAAATTTGACTACGTCACAGAGGACGTCCCAACATTGTGTTGATACAATTGCACGTTTTGAACGGTAATAACTTGCTTAATTTAAATGGAACTCCTTGTATTTTATGACAGGAAAAGATGGAAAATTTACTTTTCTATCTTTTCTATTTTTCTATGAGATGCTAGAAAGGTATCATATACCTAATTCTTCAGCGTTTCATAAAAATTGCATTATTTCACGGTTCATGCCGATATTATCAAATTTAATAAATTATCGAGTCGCCTATCGCAATTTGACAGGTCTAAAATACTGATATAAATATATTTTATGAAGTTGCCAGTTCATAGTTTCTATGAAATCTTGTTTTGTTAATAGTCTTTCTACGAAACACACATAAAAACTAAAGTTTAAGTACACTAAAGCAGGTCGAATTGATTTGATTTTTCTTCTATTTTATTAATTTGTACTTATTTTTTCTTTGAATTTGAATAGAGAAATGATTTTAGATTTTTTAACCAATCCAATGTTATTAGAAGATACTCGGTTAGACATTAGCCATATGGTTCAAATGGATTTGAAGCCAGCACATTTTTATCACGAGATACGGGAATTTTTCAATCTTCATTTTCAACAGCGCTGGGCTGTAAGAAGCGGTTGTTAAAACTGTCCTCCGCCATTATCAGATTTGACACACCCGGATTTTTCCGGAGTATTCAATTTCATTTGGACTTTTATTTAAAATTTCATTTCATATTTGACGCAATTGTTATATCTACTCTTGGCATAAAATATAGGGTGCTATTGCTTGAGACCTATTTTGAGACACACTGTATCGTTTTCTCGTATAATAGTGTAATAGTACCTACTGCTAGGAATGCTGAGTGTTTCATAAAATAATAATATTCGATTTATTTCTACTTTTATTTTAAATAGTATGCCATATTTAACGCATCAATTCTGAAAATATGCGATATCAATTAAAACCTCAGGAGTTTGGTATAGAAAACCTTTCAAGTATTTCATGGAAAATTAGATTTTTTTTCTGCTCTTGTCATAAAGTATATACTGTTCCATTTAAATTAAGCAAGTTACTAGCGGTCAAAACGTGCAATTATTTAAACACAATTCTGAGACACCCTGTATCTTTTAGTCTATCTTTTATTAATTTGTCACACAACTGCATATATTGAAAGCAGCAAGGTATAATTTGAATTAGAAACTCGAAATGGGTGCTAAGAATTTAAACCAAAAAATTCTATTTAAAAAAATACAACAGCAAAAAATACAAATTTAAATAAATTTTGCAATTGGGACACCCTGCACATAAGAAAATAGTTCTAAATTTAGAAAGCCAAAACAGTTCTCCATTTATCTGAAAAATAATACTATGTTCAAATTAAATAGTTTAGCCGCAATCTTCCGTGTCGTATACTCTGAATAACCCTGTACAGATGATTTGCAGCTCTTTTGGAAGTTGCTTTCGGATCTTGTAGCACGTTAAAGAAACCACAGCTCCAGGAGGAAAAACTTTTTAACACATGATAACTTATGGTTAGGCAAATCTCAGAACCTTACAGATTTTAAAACCGCTAACTTTCTAGTTTAATAAATCTTTTATCCAATAACTGAAATACTTTCTAAAAGAAAGCAATTTTAATAACAAAGCTCGATTATTAATCGAATCTCAGGCACAGCTGAAATGTGTTGATAGTCAAATTACAAAAATTTTCTTTCTCATCTAGTTGTAAAACTCCAGTTCAGACTTCAGACAATAGACTTTAATGGAATGCGCTTAACCAATTTTTACTATCGCAGAGATCAAATTAGAATAGAATAGAATAGCTCGAATTAAAAGATTCAGTTTTATTAGTTTGAAGTTCCCGGAACAATATGCAATCTGAGATGCTAACTTTCGGTATTAAACTAAAATTAAAAAAACACACGGAAGCTGAATTGACCAAATATATTGTGGAACCTTTTGGCTCCACGACGACGGTGCTTCAGGTGAACAATTGCTGGTAGAAAATCCAAAAGGTGCACCGAATATTGCATTGTTTATTGGTAATAATATTTTTGGCCTTTTTTTATTTAAAATTATAGTTTTCTAAATTCTATGTTGTGATGTACTTTAATGTGTAATTCAATTACGACTATTTAATTCATTCGAACTAGGGATATTCGTTCAAACTATTGCATAAATTTGCTTTAATTAATATGGGCATTATAATAATGGCGGGCATCTCTATATGTGTAAAATATAATTATAATTCTTGGCCAAGAAAAACCATTTTCCATTACTTGGAAACCACTGGAAACACAATCTACGCTTTTAAGCCTTGTATTATGCAACATGTGACCTATAAACCAAGCAGACATCACCATGATCACCGATAGTCGATCTTAAAATCACGAGTGTAAAAAATATTGCTAGTAATGAAAATAACACGAGCTTTGATCGTAAAGAATGTACCAAAGTCTCCATCACTCGTAAGCACGAACAGAAAAGTTCAAACAATAGTCGATTTCTTCATATTATTCTTACGAATTATGGTTACTGTTCAGTTTCGCACAGTTGAAACCGAACCAGTCCTCAATCCACGGCTT